TCCGCCAAACACCGAAATCTAAATAAGGTGTTTGGCGTTCCTGGAGGACCTCCTGGAGGCCTCTTGGGCCGTCTCGGAGGCCTCGGGGGGGCCCCTTAGGCCGTGTTGGGCCATCTTGAGGCCATCTTGGGCCGTCGTGGGTGCATGTCGGGCCGTCTTGGGCACATGTTGGTACCATATTGGGCTCTCTCGGGGCCATCTTGGCCGTCTTGCAGGTCTCCCGGAGGCGTCTGCGTGGAGACGGCGCGGGGAAGTTCCGGCCTTTCCAGGTGGCTGGCCCGATCGGCCGAGGCCCTGTGGGAACATCTGAAGAGAACCAGAGCAACCCAACGTTTGGTTTGCCGCGCGCCCATATGGCAAGGCACAGGGGGCGTCTCGGGGGCGGCCAAGAGGGGGGTGATGACCAGGAGGAGGTGGAGATACCATGGCGGGGGCCATGGTATTTCCGTAGATTATATGGCGCCTCGTCCTATTTCATTGCGTCCCCGCCCCCCCTCCTGGGACGCGCACGTGACGCCGGCCGTGATTTGCGCGCCCCCCCCCCCCGTTTTGGGCGCCCACCTTTTGGCCGCCCCCGAGTTTAGTTTGCCGCGCGCCTGTATGGCCGGCCATAGGTTGCGGCGAATCGAAAACGCTTGCGGCGAATCACCGCCGACCCCCGCATTTTTAGGATTCGCCCGTGTGGCCAAACCGCCCCAGCCATTGTGGAAGCCCTTCGGGGAACGTGGCGGAGAAAGAGGAGGTTGAGGAGAGGGAGGGATGACGAGGATGAGGAGGAGACGATGAGGAAACCTCTTCGGAGTTTCTTGGGCCACTCTTGGGGTCTCCTGGGGGCTTTCTGGTGGCCTCTTGGAGGCCTCTTGGGGCCTTTCGGGGCTTCTTGGGGACTTCTTTGACCGTCTCAGGGCGCTTGATGCACCTGGGGGCTCCGCGCCTCCGTGCCAAAGCGGGATAGCTCTGTTTCCCGAGCCAGTCTGCTGTGTTTTCGTGAGCTCCAGTCGGGGCACATTTTGCGAACTCCTGTCGGAGCGGATAGTCAAGTATGGCAAGCAGGGCTTCTCGACGCGCGTGCAGTGTAGCAGCTGGGCGTGGAATTGGAGGCTCAAGAAGCAGAAAGGGGCGCGCGCGGTCTGCAACAGACCTCAGCCTGGATGGAGCACTACCTCGAGCGGCGCGCGGTGGGCGCCGCGGTCCTCGGGCGGTGGGCGGCAGGAGCAGCGCCTGCCTCAGCCGTCGCTCGCCAGCCTCGGGGACTACCTGTCGAAGGCTCTCGCGGGCGCAGGGCTTGCCGGGCCCCCCGGCGCAACGCGCCTGGCGGCGGAGTTCAGCGCCCTGGCGCCCCAGAAGCTGGCGGCGGCTCCCGCGCAGCCCAAGCCCCCGCGCGCGCTGTTCAAATAAGCTACGGCAGATTGCTCGCGCAAGCAGGGGGCACTGGAGAGGGCTGCCAAGTCGCCGGGGCAGGCGCGCCTCCAGCTCGAGATGGCCCAGTCCAAGTTCGACGAGGCCGCCGACGCGGTCATGGCAGCCGAACTGCATCGCCGGGAGGTGCAGGAGGCTGCAGGAGGCAGCCGAACTGCATCGACGAGCTCGAGGAGAGCGACAAGCAGGCGCTCGAGCAGTTCCAGAAGCAGCCAGGTCGTCACGCAGCAGGCGGAGGCCAAGCAGAAGGAGTTCCAGGCCCTGCTGGAGCGCGCGCGGTCGGCGCACCAGGCGGCGGCCAAGCGGCGCAAGCGCGACCCCGACGGCGAGGCCGTCGAAGGCGGAGCGGGCGGCGCGGCTGCGGCCTCTGGTGCCTCCGCGGCGCCCGCTGCCGCCGCTGGGCCCAGCAAGTCGAAGATCGTTGTGCAGGAGAGCGACTAGAAGGCCATGCTCGAGCGCATCAAGGCCAGCGCCCAGGCGCAGGCCTGCGAGGCCGCTGCTTGCAAGGCCGCCGGTGCTGGCAACGGCGGCCATGCGGGCCCTGGCAAGGGCCTCGCTGCTGCTGGCGCTGGCACAGGCCGCGTTTGGCACGGCGGCGTGCCCGCCCTGCAGGTGCGAGTCTGCAGGAGTACCTCTTCACGAGTCTGAGGGCGATTCGTTTTTGGATATTTTCTTCGGCAACATCACGGAGAGGGGCCCGCAGGCCGCGCGTTTCTTGGCCCGGGGGCAGGAGCGCCGCATCGCGGCCCTAGTTGAGACACACAAGGGAGATATTGACATGCCAGATATATGTCAGTCGATTGATAAGGACTGCTGGCGTCTGGCCTACACGGCCGTTCGCCCATCGGGCAAGTCGGGGAGTGGCTTGTCGGGCGGCGAGTGGATCTTCGCGGAGAAGCACGCGGCAACGTCGTGCTTTGAGAGTGCTCGGCAGTCTGCGCGTTCTGCTGGGCGGCTGGGCCCCTGCCGCGGCATCGCGCCGACGGCGATCCACGCCGAGGGCGGCAACTTGGCCCTGATTGCCGCCGACCTCCAGCCAGGCCTCGGCGTGAAGGGCTGGAACAACGACGTCTAGGTTGCTTTGGGGGCTTTCACGCGGGCGCTTGCAGATCCGCGGCTGGCCACGGCGGACTGGAACATCGAGCCCGCGGCCTTGCGCGACACAGGGTGGCCCCCAAAGCTCGGTTCCGTTGTGGTGGCGCTTAGCTGCCGTGCGACGTGCGACTAGGGGCCTGGCCGCATGCATGACCATGGTCTCGCGAGCATTGGATACCCAGAGTGAGAGTTCAGGCTTGAATTTCGTGTCCCATGGAAGACGCGCTGTGGAGTTATCGCACTCAGCGATGGAATCAGCGCCTCGCGGTGCCCAAGCCTCTTCCTGTGCGTGAACGGCCTGTTGCGGCGGCAGGTCCTGGGAGGAAGCGGCCCAAGAAGTGTGAGGCAGTGGCGGCGGCGCTTGCAGGCGCTGCCAATCGATTTGCAGGAGGGCTTCGATGAGCTGGCGCCGCCTGCTTTGCCGCCTGCGCCGTCTGTGTCTTCCGCCATCCCCGAGGCAGCCGCAGGGATCTCGTGGGGGGGGTTGCAGCATTTGATCGGCAACGACACTTTGCATGTGGATGGCAACCTACAGCGCGCGCCCAGTTGGATGAGTCGCGCGGCGCCTGGACCTCTACGCCGGGGCGCGCGACCTTGATTTACGAGCAGGGGGGGGGGGGCAGCGCCTGGAGGCAGTTCTGGTCGAGCTCGCGGCCCAGGGTGCTGCTGGGCCAAGGTCACTTCTTCTCCAGGGCGCGCGCATTTGAAGACCGAGCAAGCTGAATGGCGGGGCGTAGTCAGTACACTACTGTTACGGCATGCGGCCCTGCGCGCGAGCGGGGCTGGCCACGACCAGGCCGCTTATTGCGCGCGCGATGTTCAGACCAGGATTGCACCGTCACCTGCCGATGGGACGGTGGAGTATTTCGGCGCGAAGTCCACAGCAGAGGAGGTCGAGCTGTGGAAAGCGATGGCTGCTGATTTGGATCGGGCTCCAGTGGGCCAGCTCCCCTCCCTGGTGGACACTGCGCGGAAGTGGGCGGGCTTATCGTCGTCGCGGGCATTGCTTGCTTCGCGCGCTTCCTTCATGAAGTGGGTGAAGGGGCCCTGGTCGTCGAAGCCTGGAGCTGCGCGTCAAGCAGGCCCCTCCTGTGGAGTGGGAGGGCCTCGATTCTACTGGTGCGATCACGGCGGGCAAGCAGATGTTTCTTCAGGCGGCTGCTTCTGAATGAAATGCAATTCGGGGCGGCCCAGTGGACAAGCCTGCAGACATTTTTACATAAAGGGCCAGCGTTTGGCAGCAACTCGGGAGCCCCCCCCCCCATTTCATTATCCTGGACGTCGGCGCTGCGTTCCCCGTGCTGCCCGCGAAGAAGGCGACGGGTGCGGCTGCGCTCAACCCCGTAGATATTCAACGCCAGCCGTTAGTGGCGAGGCAGAGCTTAGATGGTATATTGAATAGTATCGAGCAGGCTGGCTCCTGGCCGTCGCCCCTCAGCTCGGCGCTCGGCGCTGCGATTCTTGCCGGGGGCAACAGAGTTTTGGGTTTGGTCCCGACGCAGCGCGTCATGTGGTCCAAGGTGCGTGCGAAGTGCTCATGCGAATGGCATGCCTTCCCACTTGCTTTCTGGGGTGCTGCCACTGCTGGATTGTCAGCGCTACGCGCTGCACTTTTCAGAGCTGTGATGGATGAAGGCGCCGGCGCCCTTTCCTTCGAGCAAGCGGCTCTGTTCCTGGATCTCACCAAGTTGTATGACTCGGTGTCTTTTGCGTTGCTCTCGCAGGCTCGCTTGAATATCCGTTTTCCTGCAATCATCATGTTAGGAAGTTTGACTCTATTCTTCGCCCAGGCTCCTGAAGAAAGGCCAGGTGATTTCGGGTGCCTTGGTTGTCTCACGTTGTGTGGTAGCTGGGTCTGGACATGGAGTCCCACTGGCCAAAGTTATGCTTCGTCATTTATTGGGGGAGGTTCATCGCGCTTGTCCTCCGATTGGTCTGTGGAGTTAGATGGATGATATCGTCGGTCGCGCAGAGGGCAAGAAACAGCGCGTGATTGATGCCTTGGGCGCCGGTGCCGATGCCGTGGCCGCTTGGCCCAAGAAGCTCAGACTGAAGATTTCTGCCCAAACGAAGTTGGTTGCCAGTTCTGACGAGATTGGTATGGAGTTACAGAGACGTCTGGTTGGCATAGGTATTCCTGTGCAGCTCGCGCGCTCCGCCGTTGACTCGGTCTCTGATGCGGCTGCGGGGCGACGGGGGACTGCGCCGACAATGATGAAGCGTCGCGCACAGGCCCGACGGAAGCAACGCACGGCCATGCGATTGCGGCAGCTTCCCCAGACCAGGTTCATCACCAAGAAGCTCTACAGCACTAGTGTGCTACCTGCAGCTGTTTCGGCCATCAGATTATGGGGGCCCCATCCTTCTGCATTGTTGGCTTTGAGGCGTGATGCTGCAGCTCGCGCTGCTGGCGCCAAGCGTGGCAGGTGTCTGAATTATGCATTGCAAGCTGTGTTTGGAGTCTCCAGTCCTGGTGTTGACTTGAGGAAGCAAATGGTAAAGGAGTGGATCGCGCCGGCGGCGGCTCCCGCGCCGCCCAAGCCCCCGCGTGCGCTGCTCAAGGAGGCTACGGTAGATTGCTCGCGCATGAAGGAGGCACTGGAGAGGGCTGCCAAGTCGCTGGAGCAAGCTCGCCTCCAGCTCGAGATGGCCCAGTCCAAGTTCGACGGTGCCGCCGACGCGGTCATGGCAGCCGAACTGCATCGCTTGGAGGTGCAGGAGGTTGCGAACCCACCCGAGACGGCCAAGCAGTCCTTGTTCGAGGTGGACCCCGAGCTCTTCGAGAGCCTCGACGAGCTCGAGGAGAGCGACAAGCAGGCGCTCGAGTAGTTCCAGAAGCAGCCAGGTCGTCACGCAGCTGGCGGAGGCCAAGCAGAAGGAGTTCCAGGCTCTGCTGGAGCGCGCGCGGTCGGCGCACCAGGCGGCGGCCAAGCGGCGCAAGCGCGGCCCCGACGGCGAGGCCGTCGAAGGCGGAGCGGGCGGCGCGGCTGCGGCCTTTGGTGCCTCCGCGGCGCCCGGCGCCGCCGCTGCCGCCGCTGGGCCCAGCAAGTCGAAGATCTTTGTGCAGGAGAGCGACCAGAAGGCCATGCTCGAGCGCATCAAGGCCAGCGCTCAGGCGCTGGCGCGCGAGGCCGCTGCTTGCAAGGCCGCTGGTGCTGGCAAAGGCGGCCATGCGGGCTCTGGCAAGGGCCTCGCTGCTGCTGGCGCTGGCACAGGCCGCGTTTGGCACGGCGGCGCGCCCCCCCTGCAGGGGCGAGTCTGCAGGAGCACCACTTCATGAGTCCGAGGGCGACTCGTCTGTGGACATTTTCTTCGGCAACATTACGGAGTGGGGCCCGCAGGCTGCGCTTTTCTTGGCCCGGGAGCAGGAGCGCAGCATCGCGGCCCTAGTTGAGACGCACAAGGGAGAGATTGGCATGCCAGATATATGTCAGTCGATTGACAAGGACGGCTGGCGTCTGGCCCACACGGCCGTTCGCCCTTCGGGCAAGTCGGAGAGTGGCCCGTCGGGCGGCGAATGGATCCTCGCGGAGAAGCATGTGGCAACGTCGAGCTTTGAGAGTGCTCGGCGGTCTGCGCGTTCTGCTGGGCGGCTGGACCCCTGCCGTGGCATCGCGCCGACGGTGATCTGCGCTGAGGGCGGCAACTTGGTCCTGATTGCCGCCTGCCTCCAGCCAGGCCTCGGCGTGAGGGGCTGGAACAGCGACGTCTTGGTTGCTTGGGGGGCTTTCACGCGGGCGCCTGCAGATCCGCGGCTGGCCATGGCGGACTGGGACATCGAGCCCGCAGCCTTTTTGCGACACAGGGTGGCCCGAAAAGCTCGGTTCCGTTGTCGTGGCGCCCAGCTGCCGTGCGACGTGCGACTAGGGGCCTGGCCGTATGCATGATTATGGTCTTGCGAGCATTGGATGCCCAGAGTTAGAGTTCAAGCCTGAATGTCGTGTCCCATGGAAGACGCATTGTGGAGTTATCGTAGCGTTGAAGGCGGCTCGCGCTCAACGATGGAATCAGCGCCTCGCGGTGCCCAAGCCTCCTCCTGCGCGTGAGCGGCCTGTTGCGGCGGCAGATCCTGAGAGCAAGCGGCCCAGGAATCGTGCGGGGCAGAGGCAGCGGCGCTTGCAGGCGCTGCCAATCGAACTGCAGGGGGGCTCGGATGAGCTGGAGCCACCAGCTTTGCCGCCTGCGCCGTCTGTGTCTTTCGCCATCCCTGAGGACGCGTGGTTTGAAGCTCAGGCCCAGGTTTTGTGGGAAGGCGCCCCGCAGGCAGATGTTGGCCAGCCGCGCAGGGATCTCGCGGGGAGGTTGCAGCATGTGATCGGCAACGACACTCTGCATGTGAATGACAACCTACGCAGCGCGCGCCCAGTTGGATGAGTCGCACGGCGCTTGGATCTCTACGCTGGAGCGCGCGACCTTGATTCGCGAGCAGGGGGGGGGGGGGGGCAGCGCCTGGAGGCAGTTCTCTGGTCGAGCTCGCGGCCCAGGGTGCTACTGGGCCAAGGCCACTTCTTCTCCAGGGCGCGCGCATATGAAGAACGAGCAAGCTGAATGGTGGGGCGTAGTCAGTACACTACTGTTACGGCATGCGGCCCTGCGCGCGAGTGGGGCTCACCACGACCAGGCTGCTTATTGTGCGCGCGAGGTTCAGACCAGGAATGGGTCGTTACCTGCTGATAGGACGGTGGAGTAGTTCGGCGCGAAGTCCACAGCAGAGGAGATCGAGCTGTGGAAAGCGATGGCTGCTGATTTGGATCGGGCTCCAGTGGGCCATCCCCCCTCCCTGGTGGACGCTGCGCGGAAGTGGGCGGGCTTGTCGTCGTCGCGGGCTTTGCTTGCTTCGCGTGCCTCCGTCGTGAAGTGGGTGAAGGAGCCCTGGTCACCCTTCCCCCCCCCTTTCACCGCCCTGGACGTCGACGCAGCGTTGCCAGTGCTGTCCGCGAAGAAGGCGACGGGGGTGGATGCGCTCAATCCCATGGATATTCAACGCCAGCCGCTAGTGGCGAGGCAGAGCAGGCTGGCGCCTGGCCGTCGCCCCTCAGCTCGGTGCTCGGCGCTGCGATTCCCAAGGAAGCTGGAGGCAACAGAGTCTTGGGGGTGGTCCCGACGCCGCGCAACATTTGGTCCAAGGTGCGTGCGAAGTGCTCATGCGAATCGTCTGCCGTCCCATCTGCTTTCTGGGGCGCTGCCACTGCTGGGTCGCCAGCGCTACGCGCTGCACTGTTCAGAGCTGTGATGGATGAAGGCGCCAGCGCCCTCTCCTTCGAGCACGCGACTCTGTTCTTGGATCTCACCAAGTTGTATGACTCGGTGTCTTTTGTGTTGTTCTTGCAGGCTCGCTTGAATATCCGTTTTCCTGCGATCATCATGTTAGGAAGTTGGACTCTATTCTTCGCCCAGGCTCCTGAAGAAAAGGCCAGATTATTTCGCATGCCTTGGTTGTCTCACGCTGCGTGGTAGCTTTGTCTGGACATGGAGTCACACTTGCAAAAGTTATGCTTCGTCAGTTATTGGGTGAGGTCCATCGCGCTTGTCCTCCGATTGGTCTGTAGAGTTAGATTGATGATCTCGTCGGTCGCGCAGAGGGCAAGAAGCATCAAGTGGTTGATACTTCGGGCGCCGCTGCCGATGCCATGGCCGCTGGGCTCAAGAAGCTCCAGCTGAAGATCTCTGCCCAAACGATGTTGGTTGCCACTTCTGACGAGATATGGTATGGAGTTACAGAGACGTCTGGTTCGCACAGGTATTCCTGTGCAGTTCGCGCGCTCCACCGTCGACTTGGGCTCTGACGCGGCTGCGGGGCGACGGAGGATTGCGCCGAGAATGATGAAGCGTCGCGCGCCGGCCCGACGGAAGCAACGCACGGTCGTGCGATTGCGGCAGCGTCCCCAGACCAGGTTCATCACCAAGAAGCTCTAATGCACTGGCGCGCTACCTGCAGCTGTTTTCGGCCCCTCCTTCTGCACTGTTGGTTTGGAGGCGTGATGCTGCAGCTCGTGTTGCTGGTGCCAAACGTGGCAGGTGTCTGAGCTCTGTCTTGTAAGCTGCGTTTGGAGCCTCCGGTCCTGGCAGTGACTTGAGGAAGCAAAAGGTAAAGGAGTGGATCGCTTCGTAGTTCCCTCAGCCGGCGCTCCGCCCTCGCATTCGCCAGATGTGGCCGATCACTCTTGCCAAGTTGCGCCGAGGAGCTGCTGAGCGGCAGATCGTGAAGTGGAAGGACGTTCGCGGCCCCACCGCCGCGGTGCAGGCCACTCTCCTGCAGATTGGTTGGGATCCACAGAGTCCTGATGCATGGTCACGACCTTTACCTGACGGCACGATTGACGATTGTTTCTGTTTCCCAGCTTGCGGGCAGTTTGCTGCCGCTGTAGCTCCGCACTTTGAAGATGTGCTTGGACCGTTCATAGATGATTGTATGCAGCTGCAGTGGAAGGAGGCGGCCCACCACGAGGCTGGCGAGGGCTTGGCAGCAGGCGTTGACATGTAGACGGTGCAGACTGAGCTGAAACGCCCCCCTGCCCAGTCCAAGTTCGACGAGTGGGCCGCCGACATTGCCGTCATCTCTGGGGGCCAGTGGACTCGTGAGCGGCAGATCGCCGCAGGATACGCCTGCTCGCCGCTGTGCCCCCGATGTAAAGAGCAGACTGACACGTTAGCGCGCCGCGTTTGGTTATGCCCAGCCACAGGGGCGCCCCTTCGAAGGGCCTCGCGGTGCCCAGGTTTGTCGAGACTTCGGAGACGGCTCAGGATGTCCTCCTTGGGGAAGGTTGAATTTCGGACTTTTGTTCGGAGCCTGGAGGCCCCCCCAACTTTCATCTTCGGAGATGGATCTGGAGGAGTATAGTTCGGATCCCAGACGTAGGCGATGCGGCTCGGCGGCAGCACTGATGCGCCAGGACCCCTTCTCGCCGAACCTCTGGGTGCCTCAGTGCGGGGCAGGGCAGGTTCTGTCGGGCCGTCGCCGGACCGCCCCCAGAGCTGAGCTTCAGGCGTTCTTGCAACATTACCGGCTGCAAGAGTTTTGTTTCGGATTGGCACGGTGGCCGCGTTTCCTCTCCCCGGGGCCCGAACGGGGACTTCTGGGTCCGGGCGGCTCGTGCGCAACGCAACCGCGGCCCTGGAGGTGTTTCGATTTGGTGGGCCCCCTTCCCACGCGGAAGACAAGTTGCAGCCGGTCGCGGCGCTGTTTGAAATGTTTATGTGCCAGGGCAACGCCGGCGCCGACGTCTACGCGGGGGCGGTGGCCCAGTGGGCCTGGGAGCTTCCCGCCCCGTTTGCCCCCCCCCAGGCTACCCCCCCCCTCGGACTGACCTGTGGGATGCGACGGCGGCGCTGTTGAGGAAAATGGCTAGGAGGGCGATGCTGCCGGCGCTCGAGGTTGAACCTTGGGAAGGCGTCAGAGCCCCGCCTGTCCCCAAAGCCCGCGAGCCCACGAAATTCGACCAGGCGATCCGCCAGTGTGCGCGCAAGTATCGCCCGTTCGCTGGTCGCTGGCGCTGCGAGGCTTGTAAAGTCATTGTCCCGAAGAGCCAAGTCATCAGTCGCCTCGGCCCAGCGTCGCGTTTCGTTCCCGCCGCCGTTGTCGGCGTCTGCTATCGCGCTGGGTCTGATGCCTGAATTTGGAGAGGGTTTTGAGGCGATCTCGGGAGATGTGTGGCGTGGCGCCGTGGAGCTTGGCCCCAGCCACCGCCTCGCCAGAATGAGGAAATTCGGCTTGACATTTTGTCGGAGGTGTGGTTTCACTGCCACGACAGACGGTCGCTGGCTTCAGAATGTGCGCGCCCCCCCCCCCCCCACCAACAGGGGGGGCGAGCATCTCGGGCGAATTCGGAAGGGTGCTTTTCCGCTCTATCGGGGCCCACCCGTGGCCTTGCGAGAGGCGGCGGCTCAGGGCGCTGTCGTGGGGGCCCTCCCGCCACCCCCGCGCGGAGCTGCCGAGGTTTGGAGCGGCGCCCCTTTGCGGGGGGACTCTGTGATTGATGAGTATATGGTTTGCTCCTCCAGCCGCCCCGCTGAAGAGCTTGCCGACCTGATGCAGCTGCGCGAGGACCGTGCCCGCGCCCCGCCCGCGGGCGAGGAGGCTGCTGCCGCCTGTGCCGCCGCCGCTGGCAAGGCCCAGGGTCAGGGGCTTACTGGGCTCGCTGGTGTTCTTTTGTGCAGAGGTCGGGCGGCGGTGGTGGCGAGAGCGGCGACAGTGACTGAGGGGGAAGCCGCGTGTGTGGCATCGCAGCAGGATCCGGCAGAATCCTGGCCCGTCTGACGCCGTTGGGAGCTCTCTTGGGAACCTCTCTGGGCCGTATTGGGGCACTACTGAGGCGCCCCAGGGCCGTCTAGGAGGCCATCTTAGGCGTCTTGGAAGCCTCTTTGGCCGCCTTGTGGCTCTCTTGGGGCCGCGTTCGGGCCCTCTTGGGCCGTTATGGGGCCATCTTGGAGGCCTCTTGGGCGATCTTAGGGCGATCTTTGGAGTTTTCTGGACCGCCGGAAGGCCGAAAAGAAGCACGTGCCCAACTTCAAAACCATATGATTATCGCTAACTTTGGCCTCTTCGGGCTTTCCTAGAGGACCAGCCGTTTTGGAGGCCTCTTGGATGCTTCTTGGGCCGTCTTGGGTTCTTTTGGACCATCTGAGCGGTTTTGGAGACATCTTCTGATTTTTTTGGAAACCATCTTGAGCCTATCTTGGGCTCTCTTGGGGCCATCCGTCTTGGCCGTATGGGAGGCCATCTTGGCCGTCTTGGAGGCCATCTTCAGCGGACAAAACGACGGGAGACGCGACCAGGCAGGTTCCTTGT